AGGTATATTAATGTTTTTTCCGTCAATTTACGTTGTTGCCGTTGTTGGTTTGTGTCAGTCATCAGGTAGGAAAGTGAATCTATAGTTGATACTTTAAAGGATCAACAATTAAAATTCCCAATAGTTTTTAAAAGCGTTTGAAAAAACCCTTGTTGTTATAATAGTAGTTGAGTTATATTGAAGACTCATATAGACACAATTTGTATTTATTTGTTATTTAAAATCCAAATGTTGACAAAATTCATCAACATTTCGACAATATTACAAATTAATTTGTAGTTAAACATTTATGAAATGTCCAATTTTCATACCTAAGAATTTAAAATTTGAATCAAAGATTTTCATAAATAATTCAAATTGTAAATAAAAAAATAAAAAATAATATAAATACCTATAGTATTGTTGTATATATATTTTAAGTTAAAATTTTAACGAAATTAAATATTTAAACGAAAAATAATGATTTTAGTTGGAACTTAGATAACAATGTATAAATATAAATATATTATGTAGTAATTACTTAAGTAGCAATTAAGATAGTAATTTAATGTAGGTAATGCAATTTAATTTAAATTCTTAAAAAAAATTAACGCTGGCTAATAACTTTGTCGTTGATGCTTTAAACAATGATTAAAAAAAAAATGATTTTAGTTATTATGTTTTTATTTAAAAATATTAGTTTTGGGTTTTTGAATCTTTTATATTATTATATTGTATACCTAAATATTTTTATTATTTTTTTAATATTTTTATTATTTATATTTAAAATCTGTATTTGCATAGTTGGACAATGAGTAAAACGAAGGAGGATTTATTGGCATGATGAAAAATCACCCAAATATCACGTGAGAATGTTTTTAGGGAGAGAGTAGGTCTCTACACCAGTTTCTTATAAGGCACCTGGGTGGGTTACCTAGTATTTTCTTGAATGAGAGGCAATGAGTGATAATACGATTTGAGTGGGAATTAAAAGTATATTGTGTGTGTGTTTTTTATAGGTTTACGTAGCAAGATTATTTAAGGTTGTAATGAAAATATTTTTATGAAGTGAGTCATTATTGATGAGAGAACGCCTGCAGATAATGCTTATGTTTCAAATGCAATTTTTTATCAAAAATTAATTTAACCTTCTGCAGTACTAATATGTGATACTAATATAAATTACTTTTATCATAATAATACTATAAAATGTACTTGGTATCATTAAAGGCTGACAAAATTTGTTCAGAATAGTTTTTTTTCGTATGCAATTATGTAGTAGGCATGCATTACTACAGTGACTCATATAGACACTAAGACACCTAATGTATAATAGAAGGGCGTTAGGTAATTACTTGCTCATCTTTTTTTATATCGACGTATGGACATTTAATTTTCAACTAGTAATAATTAATAAGGCCAATTATATTTATGATTTAAATTTCAAACTAGTATTGAAATTTAGCAAGATTCTTCGAAGGTTTTTCTTTTAGCATTCCAAAAATCTGAAATTTTGTATAAATATCTAGGTACATMATTTTCTTATGTTGATATATCAAATTAAAAATTTACGRAATCAGGTATTTAAATGGGAATTACGATTTTAGATATTTTACTATGCCAGAATTTTACCACCACGTATATTATTATTTACACTGTAGTCTTCAAAAAATTTAGATTATTGTTACGTTTTTATTTGYACCGCGAACCTATTCACACCGGTTTACCTTGGTAATATCGATGTTAAGTTATTAGTAATAACAATCAACAATTAGTAATAATTATATAAAATATTAAATAATATTATTTTTTATTAGATAATATATTGTTTACGACAATATATACATATTATTGTATATTTAGAATTAAATTTTGATGGACCTCTTTGCTCAGAATTGTTTTTAGTAAGTACCTACCTACCTACATATTAATTTGAATTATCATTGAATTCAAATTTAATGCATATATTACAAAGACGTTACTAATTTATTCCATGATCCTATTCACACCAATATAATACGCGGAACGTGGGTGTTGACTATTATATTATATAATATTGTAATGTATCTATGTCCTATAACCTACCCAGTACCCATGTAAAGTTTTTGGAAATAATATTAGTTTAACACTTTAATCTATAATGAGGAAAAATGTATAACCTAGATTTTTACTAATATTTTTAGCACTAAAGACTAAAAACTGACTTTATGACGAGTATGTACTTCAATCATTTTTCGTATTCAATAATAATAATAACAATAGTAATAATACAGTTTATCTATTATTCTTATTCAKTACAGCTTTAAAAACTGTTCATGCTTAATTAAGTTTYTAAAATGTATATACTTCTCATACTAAATACTGTATAATATACTCATGTCTAATATTATGATAATATATTGGTATAGGTAATCTTCAACACCTAAACGGATCTAAATCGATTATATAAAAATTTAACTACATAGGAAAGTAAAAAAATTATATTTTATTTATTTRAACAATAATTAAAATTGGGACTCCGCACTTATAATATTAGTTAAATTTATTAAAGTAGTTTTATATTGTAATATTTTAATACAAAAACCATACTTACCTATCCACATTTTAAATGTTTTTTTTTTGCTATGAAATCTAAAAGCCATCTTTTGCAAAGCTTGTCTATGATTTTGAAACCATAAAATAACATTATTATATTATAATTTATAACTCGTGGAACTTAATTAACATAATTACAGTGTTGGGTAAATAACTTTTAAAAAGTGGATAATAAAATTACATTTAAATATATTTATTAAAACTACTCTCGTGTTACATAATTTTTTAGTACGTTACCTTTTCATTTAAAAAGTATGGTGTTAAAAATTACGTTATTTTTTTTAATTTACAAAAATATTTACTGTTGACAAAAAAGTAAAACCTCACACATCACATTGCAATACTATTAAATATTAATTCGTCACTTCACTCAGAACCTTTAATATAAAAGAGTGGCTAATYATTTTTGTTTAAATAAATAAGATAGAATTGAGCAAAATATGTCCGTAAGCTTATCTAGTTCAAATTTTTTCAAGTTTTTTATGRATACAATCATATTTTATATTATATCTTTCAATAATTTTGAATATAACGCGTTGTTTCATAACAATTAACTTTTATAAGTAATTTTGTTACAATTGCGTCAATTGAAATAAAACGTAATGAACGTAACTAAAAAACAATTTCATTGGGTACAGTTATCTATTCTGTAATTTTCCTTACGTTACTACACAAGGGTCAACGCTGCTAGGTATTATTAATTGAATACCTTCATTTTCATAAAAATTATCATCATATACTTTTTTATATGTTTATTGTTACTTTCTTATAATAAAGTGTCGTGCCCGTATTCATTACGCTGACGCTTACACATAATGTAGCAAATTTTACACTTAGAAGAATTCATATTTTGAGTACCTAAGTACTAAACTGAATTTACCAATTATTTTACGTTTTTTTTTTCGTACATTAATCATGTGGGAGTAATATTTGTTATTTTATATTTGAATATTTGATAATATATCAAAGTGTGTCAATATGTTTTAACTCTTATATCAAAAATAACAAAGTAAATAAATTGGATTCTTCTGAACATAACAATAATTGCTATGTTATACGCCAGTAAGATGGAGTCAACATATATGCGGGTACAACGACCTCTTAATAATTAAGTAAAATATAAATGTAGATATTTTTTTTAATAATTAATAATTAATCACAACGTCATTATTTTCTGGAAGGAAGAACGAACCCTGAACTTTTCCCCTTTATTTAAATACTTACGTAGGTAGRTAGTTATCATCATTAAATAATTATATATTATGTTTCTATTTGCATTCTTACTCTTATTGTCTTATTAGTGTCTTAAATGTGACTTAGACGTATCTATACTAATCTGACACTAAATACTACTTGTTAGTATTGTTACGTATTACCTTGTAAAATAATTAAATTTAAATAATGTCAARATATATCTTAAGAGCACATGGCACTTACATAGTTGCACGTGTTGTTTTCATTTTACAAACGAATAACATAGCAAATTTTACAATAAGAACAATCCATTTTAATAAATAAATAAATTAGAGTGAATTGACTGACTATACAATTTAATGTTAATATTATTATGTAATGCACAATTGAGGGTTTTATTGATATAATCATTTGTATGTAAGTATAATAATTTTAAAATTTATAATAATTTTAGAGTTTTAAAAAAGGACAAAACTTGATTATTAATAAAAATATCAATAAAAGCCTCTATTGTGCCCTAGATAATAAACTCACATTTAAATTTTATAAGGGGATAATTCACTCTAATTTTAGAATTATACAGAATGTAATATTATATTATTGTGTACGTATAATTTTTAAGGCGGAGATAACAAATGCGGGTGCCATGTCCTATCAAAGTAAACTTAATATAATTAGTATTTAGTGATATTGATATTCTAGTTTAGGAGTAAGGACTAAGGAGTCAGGACATTGGATTTAATGATGAATAGAAAAAAGCTTATTCGACACATCACACATTGAAATAATATTGATAGTTTAATTGTATATTATTACAAAAATCAATTTGGACATAAAAAAATATAAAAAGTGCAGTTTTGATAGTACTATTTTTACACAAATCTAACGTAACTTATTGCCTCAATAACCGTTATGACATGAACGAAGGTTTTCAGATTTTGTTTTTCACATTATATCTACACATGTATAATGATTGTGTTATATTATTTTAATGACGCATTCTCCATTGAAATTTGTAGAACCTAAATAATTCGCGTGTGATATAATAACAACTTCTATAATAATATACCACAACAGAATAATATGTTTAACATGATTACCGTCGTTGGCATTGCTTCTTTAGAAGCCACACAAACGGAATTGATTATTTAAAAAATCTGTTAAATAAAAATATTACAAAATAAATTATTATTGCATTGTATGTAGTCATGTAAAAGTACTATATATTATAATGTGGACACTAACCGGTTATAAATTATGATTTATATTAAATAAAACAAAAACAAAAAAAAAAAAATTCAAAATTCGAGTAATTTACAGAGCATGAATATAGAGTAATGTCACCATAATGTGTCAACCGTAAGACACTGTGTACCCCATGTTGGCCATGAGTGAATCCTTCAAAACGGGTTTCAGGGTGCGCTCCATGTGTTTGGCCAACAGGGACCGAACGCCGCGAACGAAAACGTCTTCCATTTCCATGAGGAGTTGGTCCTGTGCCTGCTGGTGATGCGGATTGTTGGTCGCAGCAGGACCAGTGGCGATGGTCAACAGCGGGTGCTGGGGTAGTTTGTTGTGATACTGTATCCTGCGGAGCCTGGGTTCCGGGCTGGGTGCCGGAGGGTTGACGAAGCCGGCCGAGACGAAGGGGAAGTTGTCGATAACGGAAGGGTTTTCGGAGGGTGCGGTTTCGTCGGATGCCGACGACGACGACGGCGACGGCGGCTGCGATGGACGTCGACCGCTACGCTCGTCACTGGAACCGCCAGACTCTGCGGCACTGTCGTCCACGTCCACGTCATGGTCTCCGCCGGCCGACAGCAACAGTTCGTCGCTGACACCGCCGCCCAATTCGGATGACAAGAACTGTTCGTAACGGTCGGAAGAAGCGGCCGTCGCGACTGGCCGTTCCCTGTTGCCGGGCAAACCCGCCGCACCGCCAACGCAATTGTAAGAGTGCACGCTGACATATGCGGCCGCTGGGTCGTTGACGGGCTCGGGGTCGATGAACGTGGCCGTGGTACGAATGGTCATCGTCGGCATGGCCGTCAGACGGTTGGGCGGCGATTTTTCCGGCACTGTGAGCGGAGCGGCCGTGAATCCCAAACCGGCCCGCGGCCTGAGACGTAGCGTCATGTCACATCCGGTTTCACCGACGCCACCGCCGCCGCTGCCACCACCGTACAATAGCCGCACTGAGCCCGACACCATCAACGTGCGGCCGAACCGCATGCGTGCCTCGAGCGTGTTTTCCAGCGGATCATAACGACACCCGTCCACTCGAGCCCACGAACGGTCGCCACCCGCGCCGCCACTGAAGCCACCTGTGTCGCCGCCGCTCGGTGATGATTCCGCGGTGGCGGCGTCGTGTGGTGGCATCACTTTGGCGCGCATCCCGGTCACGTACATTTCGGCGCCAGGCGCTGTCCGCAACCGCTGATGTAGAGCGTAACCGGACAGGTCCATGAAACCGGACGCTGGCTGTGGGACGGCGGTGTGACGTCGATTCCCGTTTTTGGTACCCTTCGCTGAAGACATCATTTCGCCGAGCGCTGACTGTACGCGGGCCATGCACCGGCCGTCGGCCGACGGTGTTAACGATGACGCGGCCGCTGCGAACGGGTTCTTGTTGGTTATCTTAGGGGCGGACCTTTTGTCCACCCTATGGCCAGTCCACCAGATCGTCGGTGGCACCGCAGGCCAAACTGMAACAGATAAATATATAATATTATCACGACCGATGACGATGGGCTCTTATAGTAATTAAATCRACGAACAACTCTGTCCAAAGGGACCCTATTCTTGGACCTGTGTTAAATTAATTAGCTCATCGCCAGGTTAAGTTTATTTGTATTTAATCTAATATTGTTGTATTGTTTTATTTCAATAATACAATAATGTAAATGAAGACTCAGATGTTTTCACGCGGTTCGTCCCGGGCTGCATCCGAGTTCCGTCCCAAATATAAAAATGTAATTTAAAGATAATATACTAGTTCCGTCCCGGGATTTTAAATAGATATACCAATTCCGTCGCGTGTCAAATCGAATAAATAACAATATCATATTAGTTCTAACTAATAAAACTATGTTTAACAAGATACCTACATCAAACTAAGAAGTACTATAAAACGAAGGAAACCTTCATTGTTAACCAAAGTAGATTTTACTAAAGAAATAATGTATGAATACAGTTCCGGTAAAATGTCTCGATTGGAATTCGTAAAACAAATATCCTATAAATTCAATCCAATTATAAATTTCTAAGTATTTATGGTATTTATATGACTATTAATGATATGATAGTTTGACTTATATTTTTTGAACGCATTTTATGACGACCATATTTATACAAATTATTCATTATATTTAGTATATACTGAATTTTTTCATATATATATATAT